TTTCCATAGGTATCGGCAACCTACAAAACATTTGTTAGTGTACAAACGGATCATTCTCTCATCTACTATTGAGGCAACATTAGCTGATCCTTCCTAGAAAGCTACAGTAATTGATGAGATGAATGCCCTTTTGCGGAATCATACATATGATATTTTGGATCTTCATCTAGCTGAAAAAGTTGTGGGGCCGTTGGATTTTTAGCATCAAGTTTAACTTTGATTGATCTATTGAACACAACAAGACATAGTTGGTCGCCAAAGGTTACTTACAAACATACAGAGAGTATTATGAGGAGACATTTGTTCTAGTTATTAGATTGAACACCATTCGGATCCTACTCTCTCTTGCTATGAATTTAGATTGGCTCTTACTCTAGCTGGATGTCAAGAATATTTTCCTAAATGAGGATCTCACAGAGGTGTACAAGTGCCTCCCTCTAGCTTGACTCTACTTTCTCCTAGGGGCAAGTGAGTTGACTGCAGAAGTCCCTCTACGGACTGAAGCAATTACCAAGGGTCTGGTTCGACAAGTTCACAAAGGTGGTAATAGGTCATGAGCCATGGTTTTTCTTGGGCCCGATCAGATCATACTCATTTTTTTCGACATTCCTCCAGTGGCTAAATTGTTATCCTTATCGTCTATGTCGACAATATTGTACTCTCAAGTGGTGATCTACCCACATTGGAGTCTCTGAAAGACATTCTTTCTCCTCATTTGAAATGAAGGAATTGGGATTGCTCTAGTACTTCTTAGGCATGGAAGTTGCTCGATCATCTCGGGACATTTGCCCATCGCAGATCAAATATGTGTTTGTTCAATTGACTGAGAATAACTTTCTTCTACACAATCCAGTGGCTATTCCAATGTTTTCCAATGAGAAATTAGCTGATGTTCCAAATGTGGTTCCAATGAACACGGCTCACTACCAACGGTTTGTGGGAAAACTCATTTATCCCACCCATACTCGCCCCGACATTTGTCACGCTGTAGGTATTGTGAGTCAATTCATACATAATTTCTATGAGCACCGTCTCCGAGCTATCTACAAGATCCTTTACTACTTAAGTGACACACTGGACTTAGGTTTGTGTTTCTCAAGTCACACCTTTTATTCTTAAGTTGTTTATGCAGACATGTATTGGGCCAGGTTCATCCATGATCTGCGATTTACCTCAGGATATTACTCATTTGTGTGTGAAGATCTTATCACGTGGAAAATAAAAAAACATTCAGTTGTAGCATAGAGCAGTGCTAAAGCTGAGTTTCGCTCTGTCCTTGGGTATCTGTCAAACTCTCTAGTCAAGCATCATGCGCTTTGAATCGGGTATGCCGGTCTTTGCTCCTCTCTAGCTATTCTGTGATACTAAAGTCGTCATTGACATTGCCCATATTCTGGTCTAGCATGTGGAGATTGACAAACTCTTCATTAAGGAAAAGCTCGATTTAGGGGGTATTTGTACTCCATTTATCCCATACAATGGTCAATCAACAGGTATCCTTACCATGAATCTTCCTTGGTCATTATTGGATGACTTCAAATCCAAGTTGAATATGATGAACGTCTATGCTTCAACTTGAGGGGAAGTATTAGAATTATTAGCCTAATTATTAGGCTAATTACTATTGCAGTTATTATTAGCTTTTATGTGCTTCCTTTTTTTTCCTTACCATATATATGTAATTCTTAGTTGGTCTATTTCTGAATTTATGTTTTTTCTCTTATTTGGGTATTGTAATACATATTTATACCCCTTTTCTTGTCTATGAAAGTAAGAAGCTCTATTCTCAAAATCTAACAATATATATATTCATATATATATATATATATATTTATATACATACTTATATATATATACATACATACATACATACATATATATACATATATATATATATATATATATATATATATATATGCATGATGGAGATTCCCGGCAGTGATTGCTCGATTTCTCACTTTCTCTCCGTTGTCTCCCTAGACAACGCTTTCACGCTCTCGCAAGAGTCCTCATGTCGAAGACGTCTCACCTGCTCTCAACGACGCTCGCTGCTCTCGTACTCGATGACCCCGTAGTCGACGACTTGCTTTTTCTCTCACACGCAATCGACGGCTTTCGACGCTCGCGTCTCTCATCCGCAGTTGATTGCTCTCAACTCTACTACCTCCGATGTTTGCCCGCTTATTTCCAGCAACTCGCCTAGCTGCTCTAGAGATGGCATCGATGTTCCGTTCCTATGCCACTGCACTTGCCGACTACTTTTCTATTCCTACTCGTGCTCCTCTTTTAGATTCAAAGACTGGTTTTCGTATGGGTAAATCCTGCAATGTCCCACAATCATTTCACGAGGGTCTTGAAGGTGGTGGCGATCACACCTTCATTAAAAAATTAGAAAAAAAATGAGAAGTCTGCTTTTATTCTCACAGAGGTTGAAACCAGCACTGTTGCATCTTCTTGGCGTTTTGCTATACTGAGAAAATTTCTTTATGGTCACCCAAAACTTGAGATCATTCGAAAGAATTTGATGTTATGAGGCTGTTGGGCAGTTGTAATATTGGTTTACTTGACGGTCGACACATACTGATTCAGTTGTCTCACGATGTCGATTACACTCGCATTTTTTCTCGGAAAGTTATCAAGATCGACAATCGTTATATGAAAATTCTAAAGTGGACTATTTGTTTTGATCCAAAATAGGAATCCCCTATCATTCCATTTTGGATAAATTTTTCGGGGTTAAAATAACATCTGTTCAACTTGAAAATTCTCTACTCCTTAGTAACTGCTTATGGTAAGTCTCTCAAGGTTGATAGTCTCACGCTTGCTGTCAGCGGATCCTCTGTGGCTTGTGTGCTAGTTGAGAGAGATATCACTCAACCAACTTTGGATGAGATATGGATTGGAACCACTCACAATGGGTATTGGAAAAATGTTGAAATAGAACCACACCCACCATATTGCTCTCATTGCAGTATGTTTGGCCACAACTCTACTACTTGCTATCGTTTTCATCCTCATCTAAGGTCGGATATCGTTAAAGATCAGTCACTTATCATCTCTGTTGATAAGGTGCAACCCGATCCTCTTTCCAACACCATATTTCCTGATGAAGAACACCATACTACAGCTACAGATTCAGTTGTGCTTATACCACCCACTGTTATTGAAGAAGACTCACTTACATGCCAAGACACACGCCAAGACACACGAGAGTGCTTCTTCTTTGATCCAATAACAGATCAGCAGGTACAACATGTAGTTGTTTCTAATGTTCAACAATCTGCACATCTCCAACACAATTTAGACCAAGATGAGGTGAGTTAATCTTCGGATGAGGAATGACATGTTTACTTCACGAGGAAGAAAAATAATGGAGACTGACTCCAGCTCGGGAACATATTGGTTACCAACTTTTTAGCTTGCTCATTCCCTAGAACTAGAGGCAGGAGCAAGACCAAATTGGATCGCTCTCTAGCCACTTGATATTTTGTATTTCTGCATTTTCAGACTTTTTCTTTAGGTCTTATTTTTCTGTATTTTTTAGTCTTGGAACCATTTGTGGTTTTTGTGTGGGAAGGGTGTCGTGATTGGGCCTTCCTACACATTGTATCTGTATCTTTCTTTCTAGTTAATATATTAGCCTTTTTGGGCTTTCTATAAAAAAAAATATATGCTAAATAAAAAATATTAATTATATTAAAAAAATGTAGAGGTTAATAATGATTAGTGTTTAATGGAAAGTACATTAGATGAAATAAAATATAATCAAGATATCATGATCAATTACAATAATATATAGACATTTAGGCAGATGGTTTCCTTAGGTGGTTCAACTTTATAAATTATTTTGCTGAAGGTGTCACATCATTATATATATATATATATATATATGTAGAGAGAGAAGGGGAGAGAGGGAGAGAGAGCGAGAGAGAGAAAGATTGTTGATTTAGATATGGCCCATAAAAGATTTGATAAGGTAAGGTTGATGCAGGATTTGATGGGGGGCTAGTAAATCAAAGGCTAGCTTTTTTATTCAAATTTAAATGTTGGGATTTTATCTCAGTGGAAAATCACAATAGGCTTTTCGGTACATATATGTGTGTGTGTAATTTGATTTAAACTTATCTAAATGCCATTCTTAGTTTCCAATCGTTCATACTTAAGTTTTATTTAATTGATATTTTTATTAATATTTATGACCTTAAGACCACCCCATTTTTATTTTTGTTCGATGATATGTTTGGTGCATTTTAATGATTGAGTTAGTTTAATTTTTATCACAATTTCTTGTAGTTTAGTTTGTTTATTTTTTTATCTCATTTAATTAGATTCAATGTCTTGATTTATTCATAATTAATTTGTTCTATAATCGTACTAATTTTATTTTGACTTCTTTTGATTCCATTAGATTTAGTTCAATGAGATGATTTACTATCGTGCTTAACCAAATTGTTTTTTTTCATTCCATTTAACTTTTTTAATGAATTTATTTGTTGATTAAATTTTGATATGATAATCTGCTGATTTTTATTTTTAATGACAATTTCTACTTTCAAAAAAAAACACATTTTCCTTTGATATTCACAAAATAGGAATAATTTTATTTGATTTTTATTTTGGAAATTTCAGTTAATGTCTTATGGCACAAATTAATAGTTTAGATCAAAGATTGAATTTTAATGGCTAAGATTTTCTCTTGTCAAGATCACAAGGGATTCTTAATTATAGTATAGATATGAAATTGCTTCGTAATTTCTTAAGGCAAAAATAAATCTTTTATATCAAAAATAAAATTTTATCGGCTAGGCTTTTCTTTTGGTGAAATCAGAAGGGCTTCTAGAATAAGTATGGTTATGAACTTGCCTTGTCAAGTGAGATGAGTCAAACCTATTCAGCTGATTTAGCTGAGAATTCTTACAGCGTGTATGATTTTCCTCATATTCTTTTTACTAACCATAAAAGATGGATTAACACAAAATGTAGAATTTAGTAATGCTTACTTGATGATAACTGGTGTTCCACTTGCTTGAGCAGCTGACGGCTTCTTTTCTGCTCCTCCATGATACCTGGTTTTGATGGATGTTTTGGTTCTCCATCAACTGATGCCTTCTTGCATGAATTTGTGCTTGGATTCTCACAAGAAGCTGCATGCTTCTCATTGTGTTCATTGTTTGACGCTTTACACTCTGCCCTTCCATCATTTTCTTTAGCCGTAGCAGACCTTTCAGTGCTTTATAACTTTTCCTAGCCTGCGGCATCATCAAATTTTAATAATTTCATCATTGCTTTGATGTTTGTATGTGCATCAAATGGTTGATAGTTTAGTTGGAATGTATTATGTTGACTTTCGACAAATTCTAAGAAGTGAAAGCAATTAAGAAAGCAAAAGTTACACTTTTTTATGCTCCTGTCTTGTTACTACTAGTTTGGTGAAATTCATTTATTACGTCTTTTTTATCATGCTAACTTCTTTTCTATATATTTTTGGGATGAATTCTTATGTGTTCTTTTTCATTCAGTCCTGTGAAATGGCAGATAAGGTGTTCCGTCTAATTTTGGCAAGTTGTTTGTGCAATTTCTAGCCTAGATAATTTGGTTTTTCTCTTTTCGTCCCCATCCTTCACCTAAATTCTGTTACTTTTTTATTGATGTATTTCTTATCCTCTATTTTTCATGTCCAAATAATCTAAGTGTATTTTCTTAATAATATTATCTCTTATAAATAATATAGTTACAATCATACTAGCTATACATAATATTGGAGGAGACTCGGTCACATGCTTCGACTGTAAGAGGCTCTGGACAGGGGAACATTGCGCTACCGCTTTTGCTCAGAAGTGGAAGCCTCATCACGCGATTATTTTTACTGACGCGGATTTGCTTCCCATGGGGAATCCTCACAACGATGTCTTAGTAGTCACGGATAGGAGCAATATCTACCAGGTAATAGTATTTTGGCTGACACTGACAGTTTGGGAAATATACCGTTCAAATCAGCCTTCGATAAAATGCATCTATCTGTCGACCACCTAGTTGTGCTATCTGTCACTTGGAGAGAAGGTAACAACCAATTTACCAACATGGAAGACTTCATTATTTGATGTGCCACCCACTTATAGCATAATCTGCGGTCGCCTACTGCTTGTGATCTTCACATACCACATTGTAGTGAAGTTTTCATGCGATGAGAAGATAATTATTGTTCGAGGCAATTTGGAGTAGTCTCGGACATGCTAACTCCAAGCGTTCGATAGTGTGGAACAGGGTTCATTCATATCCAAAACCAACGAGAGGGGGTCTCAAAACCGACAAAACCACAATTGAGATTCCCACTGCCCTCGGTGAAGATGGTAAATTTTTTCTTATCAATGAAAGTTTTGATGAAAGGCACAAGAACTTGTTGCTCCAGACCCACACCCTCTAGAAGCATTGAGACATATTTGCCATGTCAACTGCTGAAATGTTAGACATGCCATTAGACGTATCATGTCATCGCCTCAACGTTAAGACAGTCGCTCGACAAATAAAGCAGAAGATGAGAAGCCTTTGGTTTGGCCAATTCGAGAAGAAGTATAGAAGCTCAACGAGGCGGGCTAGATCTTGGAGGTACAATACCCAACTTAGTTCTCCAATGTGGCATGGTCTAGAAATTAATTGGTAAGTGGAGAATGTGCGCGTACTTCACAAACTTGTACTTTGCTTGTCCAAAGGACAGCTACCCTCTGCTGAGTGTAGATGTTCTGGTGGATTCAACAGTAGGATATTCAGTAATGAGCTTCTTGGACGTTTTCTCTGGTTATCATCAAATTAAGATGCATCTATCTGGCGAAGAAAAAATAGTATTTATCACGAGCGAAGGACTTTATTATCGTAAAGTAGTGCTCTTTGGGCTAAATAATGTTGGGGCTACCTACCAGCATTTAATGGATGTAATCTTTATGAATCAAAAAGAAAAAAAAAATATTGAAGTCTATGTCGAAGATATCCTAGCTAAAAGTTGGTCGACCGAATAACATATAAACGATTTTAAAAGAATGTTTCAAACGCTCAAAAAACATAACATGAAATTGACTTCAAATGTAAACTTAGAGCTTCTACCATCAAATTCCTTGGATACCCATTGATGCCTGGAGGAATAAAAGCCAACTCTGAGAAAGTGCAAGCACTCTTGAATGTACCTATCTGCCCGAAATGCTAAAGAAGCGAAAAAGCTGTCCAATCAGATAGCAACACTCAACCAGTTCATCTTAAAGTCGAACGACAAATGTGCAGCGTTCTTCAAAATGCTTAGGAAAGTTATCAGCTTTGAATATTTGACCGAGGGTGAGCAAGCATTCCAAAGCATAAAACAAGCGCTGGCCTCATCACTGGTTCTACGAAGCCTAAAATCGGAAGACAAACTCTCTATATTTGGGGGATTGGCCCGAAGCCATCAGCTCAGTCTTATTTTGAGAAGTGTCGGGAAAATAATTCCTAATCTATTACAACAGTCGGCTTCTCCGAGACGCTAAGATCAGGTATCATATCATTGAAAAACTAACATTCGTTTTGATTGTTTTAGCTCGTAGACTCCAATCATATTTTCAGACACATTCGATTAGGGTCATCATTGACCACTCTCTTAAATTTGTGCTCACTTCACCAGAATGTTCCTTTCGACTTTTGAAGGGGTCATGGAGCTCAATAAGTACATCACCTACATTATTTGAACAATGATTAAAGCTCAAGTCACAGTAGACTTTCTGACAGATTTTTCTGAAATAGGAGAACCGAGCGAAGGAACTATCACCGGTGATTGAACTTGGGCTTTGCACATTGATTGACCCTCGAGTCAGGCGAGGGCAGGAATCAGACTAGCACTAAGTAGTCTAACCTGGAAACATATTTATTATTCGGTGGTCCTTAAGTTTGAAGTTACTGCCAACAAGACGAAATATGAGACACTAATAGCCGGTCTACGCCAGGCTTTTGAAATGGGTGATTGACAATTATTGGTGAAGCAAGATTCGCAATTGGTGATAAATCAAGTCAACGGAGAATTCAAAGCTAGAGACGAAATAATGGTCAAGTATTTGAGCAAGGCAAAGGCCGAGATAGGGAAGTTTGCGGACTGTAGAATCAAGCACGGTTGTCGGGAAGAAAATCAAGTAGCGGACCTTCTATCAAAGAACCTTTGCTTTGGAAAGGGGATGTCTCAGAGGCTTTTATGGCCGGCCATTGCGGAGTCAGAGGCCATGGGGTAGAAGCCAGAAGTACAAAGAAATGGATGGATCCCTACATCAAATATCTGGAAACTAGAAAGATGCCTGAAAAAATAACAAATCAAAGGAGATTCAAGTTTAAAGTTGCACAATATCTCATGATTAAATGTAAATTTTTCCGAAGGCCAACTACTTCACTAATCCTAAGATATGTTAAGGAAAACAAAGCGAAAAAAGTCCTTCAGGAAATACACTTTGGCGAATGTCAGAGTCATTCCAGAGGAAATATCTAAGCACATCGTGTTCAGAGGCAGGACTATTTCTGGCCAACTCTCATGAAAGATGCAAAGCAGTTTTCTATTTGTGCTCCATTGCAACATCGGCCGACCTACAAGTTGCAGTCGATTGTCAGTCTCTGGCTTTTAGCCATTTGAGGACTCAGGGTCCATTTGGCGCAGCTTTATCCTTGCGGTGCGGCGGAAGGCAGCCGAAGAAGATTGTTTGGCGCAACGTTTCATCTACGGCGACCGCGAATCTGAACGAAAAGCGGGCCGAGGGATCGACCCCGCGGCCTCGCTTCCCTCCTACGGCCCCGCCTTTTCTCCTTCGGCATTTTACCCCGGTGCCCTCGATTCCGCATCTCGTTCGGCGAAGCCAGAAAGCAGAAAAGTGACGAGCAGAAACCGGAAAGTTCCGAAGGAGTTCTTCACCATAAACTATGCATCTCAGTCGATGGAGAATAAAAGAAGTGCTATCAGTACGAGGTAGAAGGAGTCGTCTTCGGCTTATTTCTTTAAACTCCTTTCCCCGATCTCTTCCATCCATGAGAGCTTGAAAAGGGTTAACATTTCCGCCATAGCGTGGTAACGAGGACGACGCGGCTGCCTTTCGCCTTATTCTTCTTTGCGTGGAATTATCAATTTTTGGTAAGGAAAACAAATCATCCGGGGTCGCTCGGACGACGTCGTCGACGGTCGGGTCAAAAACGCGTCGAAATTCAAATTTCACAAAAATATTGACCCGCGATCGATTGTTTCAAAAATTTCATTCGAGTCTTCGACGGGTAACAGTGCAAGCGATGTGAATTATGGCGATCGGACGTGTTGGCTCTCCGAATTGCGAAGTTTGTGCGCGCGGGAGTGCGAATTGTGCAGAAGGCCACCCTAAGGCTCAAAAAGGTCCTATAGGGATCCCTTTTGGGTTTCCTCATGTTGGTTTCACCCTTCTAAATGCTAGAAGTCGATACCACACACTTGGAACCACAAAAGAGGACGGAAATAGGTCAAATTACAATGAGGCGGGCACCACTTCTAAGGTTCTAAGATAGTCAAAGGGAGATCCCTAAGGCTAGATCCTAAACCCTAAGAGGAAGACTAGACCTCACTAAAAATGAGGTCAACAGATCTCAGTTATTTTTAGCATTGTCACGGAAACTACTGCTGAAAATTGATTTGAATAATGTTTTTACGATTGAGAATGCCTATAATTTGTGGTATTTAAATGTGCATATAAGTGTTATTTATCTAATGAGAACAGGAACTGTAGTTTGGATCACTTATTTCCTGCTTGTTTTCTGTTCTCAGTGTGAAGAACATCCTTTTGTGTTTTCTGTTCTCAATATTTAGGTGTTTCAACTTGTTTCAACTAACTTTTTATATGGCTAATAGGATCATTTTATTGTGTGTATAAATATGTATAGTTTAGGCCTTAGAAATGATCATGGCTCCCCTGATGAAACAATCTGTATATTATATTCTTCACCTCTGCCCTTCTCTTTTCCAAGGAGAAGAGGTGAACTTCCTAGAATGATGTATTTTTTCTCCTTTCATATTTATTCTTATGTTAAGACAGGAAAAGTTAGACCTAATATATATATTAAATTTAATTTAAATTGCTTCCAAGATGCAAACAACACATTCCCCGCCCACGTACCTCCCTCGTGCGACTTGTTTGCAGTCGCCGGCTTGCTTGAATCTCTCTAACCCGAGATTCCCGCTAGTCGTTGAAGTTCACATTCCTCTTTCTTCATCTTCTTTGATAATTGAAGA